TGGGAGCAAGGGCTCTGCAGAGCTGGTGCCGTGAGGCAGTACATTCCTCAATGCGACTGGAGAACAGATGCTGAACCTCGATGCTGCTGCTTTTCCACTGGGAAGGGAGATGGGAAAGTCAGACATTTATTCTTCCCAGGTATCGATGCTGTTTCTTCAGTGTCTTTGCCCCAGAACTGGCACAATAGAAGCAGAAGAAACACATTTGGAAGGAACTGAGGAGGGCGTGTTCTGTTTTCTTCCAAGGGCTTTGTAATCAACAGGAAGGGCTGTGAGGCCAAGATAGCAGATTCTATTCCCTGTAGAGAAGAGAACAACACTTTAGACAACACATCAACAGTATTCCCTGTTGGCTGTCAACAAATATCGGGTGGAAGAATACAGGTCTATAGAAGCTGGCGTGGCTCAGTGAAAGTAGTTTAGACGTGACATAATGAATTCCTACTTTCCTCCTCTGAAAAATAATGACAATTACAAAAATAATATCTGTCAGCAACTAGGTAACAACTCTGACGGGTGCTCTATGTAAACCTATTGTATGGATGAGGAAGCTGAGGCACAGAGAGGCCTGTGTAACCAAGGTCATATACTCTGACATTGAAAGCTGTGATCAGAACCTGCAAAGCCAGAGTCTACAGCCACTCCTGAATCACTATGTCAGATGGACAGACTCTTTGAAATGAAGATCGTGGCTTATTTCAGTCCACAATCGCTTGTAGTCATCACTAATGATTGGAAATTAAAAAAAAAAAAAAAAAAAAAAAGGTGTTTTCCTTAAAAAAAAAAGTAACTTCTGATAAATGGGAGCATCTTATTTAGTGAAGGATCCATGTATTCTGCTGGGAAACAGACAGCAAAAGGAGATTGGGGCCAGAGCACCTGGAGAAACTGCTGATGTCAGTGATGGAGGTGAGAGATACAGCCTACCTTGGCGTACCAAGAACCCATCAGCCAGATAAATGCCCAGGCCTCCGTCTAGAATCAAATCAGGCTGACAAAAAAGCAAGGAACCCTCTAGACTCCTCACCATCTTCTCATTTGTCAAAGGATTGACTCAAACCAAAAGAAGCAGTTGTTGGCCTTTTATTTCCCATCAAAGTTCTTCTTGGACTGCATCCATTAGAGGGGCCTTGCATAGCACTGGCTTTAAGTGGAGAGCGGGAAGTGAGAGCGCACTGCACTACTGCAGATGATTGGCTTATTAAATCCATCAATTGTTTCTTTCTTTTGTGTAGGTATGTGTTTATAAGAAGAAATAATTAAATTTAATTTCTTTGAGTTAAATGATCATATTTAAACATGTAAAAAAACGTAGTCTATTTGGAGAGACAGAAATAAAGCCTTATGAATTATTCATATAGAATATTTTTTATAGTTACTGAAAATTTTAAATGTGGGCTAGGGTGTAACCACCAATATCTTCAAGTCACTTGTTCAGGATAGAAGGAAGGGTGCCAAAAGGGGAGTTGGATTTGATCAGTGCATACGCTGTGTGCATGTTTGGAAATATCACATGGCATCTCACTAATATGTATAATTAACATGTGTTAATAAAAAAGAAGTGAGTTGAAGGTACTAAGGTTGTTCATTTTGACAAATTATGAAAAATGAAAGAAGAAAAGAAACAGAATCGGATATATTTTTCTAATTCTTTCCTCTGAGGAAATCAGTAAGCTCATCAAATGTAATTTTTGAAACCTGAATGCGCAGGAATTTCACCCAGCAAGCATGCATTTATGTGAAGGACAAGGAGAAAGTGAACTTGACCTTAAAACTCTAGAGTGCAATCATGCTAGGGGGAGAGGCAAACTTTTTGATGAAGAACTTCTTTTGCTACAAGAAATTTCATTCTTGCAAAGGAAAGAGGGGTCTTATAAATACACTCTCTCTTTTCCCATCTGCCAAGCCCCTTCTTCACTTAACACCTGGAATAAAATATCTACTATGTAAATATATTTGCAGTGTTAAGTGAGCATTGTGGGGATTTCTGTTTCTATGAAAATGGTTGGACACCTGAAGTTACAAGTGTGGGAATGTGAAGGCGTCTATCTAGTTGATCGCAAAAGAAAAGTAGAGACCATAAGCCCGTCTCCTTTGAATTAGGGCAACTCCTCTATCATGGGTAATTTCTTGGATAAAGCAATTGGCTTACAAGGGGGTCACAGTTGTTAAAAGAGAATCCACAGTGACTAAGTAAACAAGGTGCCGCTCCTGCAAGTCAACTACCCAGACTTCAGTAGATCCTGCCCATCCGCTGCTTGCATCCAAGTGGGGTTTCACTTGTGCTTTTCACTCTTTTCAATTATGAAATAGTAATTTCATAAACTTCAAGGCTAAAATATGCATGCCAATCCTTTTGAGTGTAATTAGATAGGACTGCCACCTTTCAGGTATTCCCACATTTACAGGCTCATAAACGTATTTAAGGTGAAGGCGCCTCAGGCGCATGGCCCCGGCCACAGAAACGCACTTCACCCCACTGGGGCATGGGCAGCAAAACATCCGGGAACACAGGAGAAAGACAGAGGAGTAGCACTGGGGCTGGGCGGATACAAGGGTGCCCGAAGCTGCGGAGCACACTGTTTCCCTGAGAACATCTCACGTACACGTAGGACAATACCAGGCTGTGAGAAAGGTGTTATTACTAAGGTGTCATTAGCTTTCTAGTTCACAGGCGGAAGAACTGAGTTATAAAGAAAAGTGGGGTGAACTTCCCAGTGTCAACATTTGGGTTGGCTTTAGAATTCATAGCTGTCCGGATGCCACGGTCTGGCTCCAGCCTCAGGAAACACTGGAACGTTCTATTGTTCTGCCATTACTCCTCTAAAACTGCAGCGAGGGAATGGGGGTAGGAAAGGCTTTTATTGCTACTGGATATTATTTTTGACACTTGGAAAATCCATTTTTGTCTTTCTATTGGTCTTGACCCTAACAAATGAATGTGTTAAAAGCAAGGTTCAGAAGGTGACCTTTGAATGACATAGGATTTCATGTTCCACCTGATTATTTCATTTGGAGGTACCTGCTGGGCAGTGGCAAAACTACTGCCTCAGAACAGATGATGACTTGTTAGATAACTTTCCCTTTCTTTGGAAAAGTTCTGCTTTGAGTATGTTTAATGTTTAGAAAAATACTTCAAGCCCTAAGTTGCTGACTTTAAAGAATGCCAAAATTCTAATTATTCAATGAATGCAAGGTTAACATTCTGTTTTTCCTTAAAGTCTAATTTCATAATGCTGTTGACTGTAGAGATTAAAAGCAAAATACTCCACAGCTTTTCTGAAAGAAAAAATAAAAATTTTAAAAGCAAATAAAAAGAAGAATCATTTGCCTACATTTGTCAACTTTTAACATGAACATCCAGAATTCCTAGACTTCAGCAAGCATGGCGATAAAATAAAAATTGCTGGACTGGTTTTAGAAACAAATTTCACATTCTTTCTGAACAGAAATGCTTTTACAACTAATGTTGCAAAAAAGGTTTTTACTAAACTGTCATGGTTTGACAGCATCAAACATTCCTTGCTTGGAAAGAAATAGCTTTCGGGATAAAACTGAAAGAGAGAGGGGGAAAAAAAAAAGGTCATTAAAATTAGCCAAGCTTTCATTTAAAAGTGAAAAACATAGTTTAAAAAATAGTTAACATTTTCCCAGTCCAACATTAGGTCTTTTACTTCTAGGAATGAACAAAGCCATTTAATTTACCTGTTTCAATAAGAAAATTCTGGAGAATAAAAGAAAAGTTGTGGGCTTGTGGATGAACAGTGCATTTTTAGTGCACTAATGACAAAGTCAAGGCTGAAGACAAATCTCCTTGCCTAATCCTGTCTGGTAAAGGGTTTTAGGAGCATAGGAGGCTAAAGAAAAGACTTCCCAACACTTCTCCAGCAAAACAAACCCTCCACAGGATGGGCCCATGATCTAGCCATTGGGGAGAAAGGCTCCTGAGGTTCCTGCCCAACACCCATAAGACAGTCACTAACAGGCACAGCCTGAACAAGAGGTACCAAAGGACAAGAGGAACCTTCCTGAGAGAACCCACAGCCAGTGGGTCTGGGTCTCACCCTCCTGAACCTGACCTCACCTCGTGTAATACAGACTTCACTTCCCCGTGGAAGAACATCAGGAGCGTCTTTCTGTTTGGGTCTCCACTCCTACTGTCAAGAAAGGACTGAGATCCTGAAAGAACCCAACCCTATCTGATAGATGAGAAAGAATATTTTCCGAACAGTGTTTCAGATGAGATAAAGTTTACCGAAAAAATTCAAGGGCAGGGAGGGGTTTATTGGAGAAAGACTTGTCGCTGGTTCTTTTGACTTACCTTGTAGATTTGGGATTGCTTCTTTAAAGGAGGGTAGTATGAAATTTTCCTAGTCAAGATTGTCACAGCCCACTATCCATAAGGTAGTTATAAGTTTGCAGGGTCCCAAGTAAGACTTTATATGGCACAGCCTCAGGCCCAAAGAAACAGACCTCAATTGTTCAGTTAGGGATTATGGGGTTTGAAAATTTTTTTTATATATCCACTTTTCTTTTCTTTCCAGCCCCCATTGTTACAGGAATCTACCAGGTGATGTGAGCCCTGAGGAGGCTGCATGGGTGAGCCACAAGATTTTCACCCAGGTCTTTTCCCGTGGTTTGAAGAAAGCTTTAAATGCTACAACTGAGTCCTTTAAAAAATGTTCCTGGGCATGGTCATAATTCCAGTTGAGCAAAACGAGTGTCAATTATGCCACAAACAAAATACTGCAGTTGTAATTCCAAATGGAGGGAGGGTCAAGGACATCTCAGAGCAGCGCAGGGTCTGGCAGCAAGTACAGCATCAAAACTCAGAGGCAGAGATCTATTTATATAGGTACACGTATTTTACAGACTGGTGATGGACTTAAGTACTGGTGAGAAACAATTTGTTCCAGGTCTAATTCCAGTGACCGGCTGTCATTTCTGCAAGCCCCACAGTTTCAGCAATCTGTACACCAAGCGACGCTGCAGATAAATTTTTCCTTTAATTTCAGAGGGCGAAGACGAAGTAAAAAAAGTGCAGTTCTTCAATTAAAGTGCATGGATGAGGTAAACTAATTTCAAGAGTTTTGAGTTTATTCAGTACTGGCTCAGACAGGGACCATCCTGCCGTGCATCTGCTGCATTTGGGTTCGCATGGCCTGGACACTGCTCAGAATCTTGTTCTGGTGTGTGATGGCCGTGATGCCAATCCTTGCCAGGTCGCTGTAGGTAGGACATAAAGAGAGGGAGAGAAAATGTTAAGGGGGTTGAGAAGCTGGGTTTCCTGACTTCATGCAGACACACATTTGAATCAACCACAATTGATACAGCACAACAAGGCAGGTGTATTAAAATGTTTAATCAATCAATTCAATGCAACAATGTAGGTGCTATATAGAGACTGTGTAAAATTACACTCAATCAGGATGGCAGACATTCCAGTTTTCTTTTCTTTTCTTTTTAATGAGTAGGATGATTATTGATTATGGAGCTCAAAGAAAAAAAAAAAAAACAACAAAAAAAAAAATAAAAGGAAAATACTATTAAATCTAGATTTACCCTTTGGTGTTACATCGCTGAGTACTTACTCCTGGTTCATGTGCACCACAGCCTCTAGGGTGGTGTAACCAGCAGCTGTGAAGTTATCCTTATACCGGTCCATTTTAATGGCCTGGAGCCAATCGCCCACAGATACTACAGCAGAGAATTCAGGGGAGCTGGGATCCAGCAGAGCAGTGTTAGGCCTGGAAAGAGAACAAGAGAGCATAAATGAACAGGCGCCATGGGTACGACAGGAAGGCTAAAACAGGCAAGGGGAGCTAAAAAGCCAAGAGGTTTTAAACAGAACAACTGTGGTCAAAGGGAACCATGTGATTTTTTTGCCCTTATTTCACAAAGCTGCTAAAGTATGTATCCATCGCTCTTATTCATTCTTAATTCCATTTCCTGCCCTTGTTTTATGTGGTCCTCTTATAGCAGTTCACACCCTTGCTTGGGGTAAAGTTTGGGGGAGCTCTTGTGGTTGAAGCCTGTTCAGTCCCTGCCAGCTCTGAATATCATGGGCTTAGGTTCAGCAACTATGGAAACCTTACTGAAGTATGAGCAAGGAAAACTGCAAGCCTGCAACCTGCCAGTCTTGAGCGAAGTGGCGGGAACAGCAAGGGTTCAAGTCCATCATGGTTCCAGCCAGGTCTGCAGGCAGGCGGGTGCACTCATACAAACTCAGGCCAGCAGGGAGTTAATCCCCTCTAATCAGCCCATGCCTGACCAGCACGTGTGCCAAGACTGGCAGGAAGAATGGCCACTTTGATCACTGTTTGGATTATGGAATGTGCTTCTTTGCTGGGCTCCTGAATAACGATTTCAACAGATTCAAAGAACTTCTTATTAACTTATTTATTAGTTTACATATTTCTCAAGCCAGGTGTTTTATACTAGATCACTGTCAAGAACAACACAGGCAGGAATTCTGTTGTTCCTCTTGATATTGATGTACAATAAATCACCTATTTATGAAAAGTATTTATTTAGAGAATTACAGTCATCTTCATCATCAAACTACTTAATAACTATAGGATCGGTCTTCAAGAGGTATTTTAGAACACCTTTACTATAATTACTCACATAGCAATACTGTTATTTGTTAAATTATATTTTCTTGAACTTCTCTTTTCCCTGAAAATCACAAACTGTGTTTGATTCTAACATTTTGTCCTGATTTTCATTTGAGATTATACTTGAGTACGAACATTTAAATTGGAATTACCTCATACTACTGAATTCTTAAACAAAAAAAAATGTTTCTTGAAAAAACAAAATTAATATAATGTCTTGATTAATTTTCTAATAGCAGAAGTAGTCCAATTTTAAATTCATTTTAGAATATTTCATTTTCGATGTTATTTTGATATGCATGCTTTCTTTTAACATATTTTAACAAAGACTATGTTTTAATTTCTCAATTTTGTGTCCAAATGATAGTTTGCCTGTCTGACCTTTCTGTTGTGTCCATTATTTCTAATTTTCTGAGTAAAATTATGCAGATGTTCATAGAGAGAATAGTCAAAATTTAATTCTTCTCCCATTCTGAGTTAGTGACAAATACTATCATGTCGAATTTTAGCTATTTAGCTGAGTATTAGATGTATAGCAATATTTGTTGGTAAATAATGACCGATAGTTTGTATTTACTTCCAACTTTAAGCCATGTACACAGACAGAGTAAGATATAGGCTCTAAGTGCCTGACAAGATCAACATGAACTTAGGATAAAAATATCTTCACTCATATTAATTAACTCTATCGGTCTTTCTCAAGCTTGTTCTGGAAGGCTTTGTGTTCTTTGTGGAAGGGCATGACATTTCCTAATTTTGTGCAGAATGCTTGGGCTCTGTGGCTGAAGATCTAACAGCTGGAGGAGATTTACCTTGGAATTGAAGAGGCTGGATTCCCCTAGAAAGGAGGGCTCATAGTAAATTATTTTACCCTCTCAGAGAAAAGAGTAACAAAAAATAGCCCAGAAATGGTAGATTTCTTTTCTTTTCTTTTTTTCCTGATAACACATGGCAGAGGTAAGATGTGAATTCAGCCCTTTTCAATGTTGTTTGCAAAGAGCACAGCTGCTATGGTTTTAGTCTAGTGGCCAATGGGAGGGATTTGAAAGATTAGAGAAGAGAGGAATTTTTTTTTTTTTTTTGCCATTTACTCCAAATTCTTCTTCACGTATTGTGATCACAAATGTGTCCTTCTCTTCCAGGACATTTAAGCTAAATTTTCAGTGGAAAGATGGGAGGACCCAGAGGGCCAGCAAACACTACAAGGCCTTGGGCATAGGGACTCAGAGGACTGCCCCTCTGTTTCTGACTCCAGGTCATGCTGAAAGACAAGCTCCAATTTGGAGGCACATAGGCACTTCACTTCACACAGGCCTGGGTCACTAGTCTTATCATTGTTGGTTTCTTAATCCAAAATAGATTTTTGTTGTTGTCACAAATTGGCAAAGACACACATTACTATTCTCCTAGTCATTGAAGGCTCCCCTAATGATTTCTTTGACATCTCCAGGCTGGGACTGTTTCTATGTGTCCCAAATTTGTTGGCAGGAAAGCCCAGACTCTATGTAGAAAATGCTTCCTAGTGAATCATAGCAATTATGTATCTCTAGGTTCCTAGTAGACTGATGTGTCTCCTGCTGCTTCTCCCAATGAAATGACCACCTTCTTCACAGCTGGTCCAATCATTTTGGTTTTCAAACCCCTTCTTTAACATGCATCTGCATGCTCTGCAACATTACCAGTTCCTATACCCTGCTCTGCAAGATTCAGAAAGGGGAAAGCAGAAAAAACAGACCTCATGGCTCTCTTGGTACAAACACTTGGTAAGTTGACTTAAAATTGCAGAGTTTAGAGACCTATCCTCCAGTCTTAATTCCTCACTATTTCAATGTTATTTTTTTTTCTTTTCCTTTTTCAAAACATAGCATCTACTTACCTAAACGTCTTCTAAGACTACATTTCATCCCTCTTCCTAAATTTTCAAGGCCAGCATCATAAAAGAAACACTTTATTTCTTTTTTTTTTTTTTTTTTTTTTTTTAATTCTTACCACTATTTGAGGCCTGACAGGCACGAGGCTGTTCAAAATGATGGAGAGAACTGTCTTAAATACTCCACTGATTGAGAAAGAAGCTGCCCAGATTATACAGAGCTATGAAGTGGCCATTGAAGAAAAGTCAGGAACTAAACTGAGTCACCACTGGTCTGCCAGCTCCAGTCCCCTGCCTCATCCATCACTATTAGGTAAGCATAGCCAACCTGGAGCTTTCTGTCCCCGTCCTCTTCAAGCTGTTGGGATTGCGGATGAGTTTATCCAACATGTTGACAATCTGCCCAAATTTAGGCCTGTCGCTTCTCTCCTTCTGCCAGCAGTCCAGCATCAGCTGGTGGAGGGCAATGGGACAGTCCATTGGCGGAGGTAGCCGATAGCCTTCCTCGATGGCTTTAATCACCTGCAGAAGACAACAGGATGGGAGGTTAAGCTGCCAGGCGAGCTGCTGTCAGAGGTTCACCCTCCAGACGAGCATGTTTCTTGTGCCAGCGAGCTTGAGTAGGGGCACGGTTCCAACTCCTTCACAGAAGCCAAAGACAGACCAGAGTCTCACTGGCATGGAGAGAGGGAAACCAGCTGTTGCTTTGAGGTGTCCTCAAACGGCAAGCAATGCCAGTTGGACATGAAGATGAGCAATATTCCACAGTAGTTAGAAGCCAGCTAGATCAGCAACACGGTGTCAGCTCTGGAAACGGCTCTCACGTCACCTGGTTCTGCCACTACCCCTCTGCTCTCCTCTATGCAGCATTAGCACACCTACACACTCCTAGCAACAGACTCTCTAGTGCCCAAGACCTTCCCCAGGGGGGATGTAATGTAATTCCCTTGCTTCAGCTTAAGCCTGTGTCCCCCTGCTCAGACATGAATGGGCCAACTCCAAGCCCCCATCTCCTACATGCTCAGCCAGTTTCCCTTTGGAAGACCACACCCTTAGGCACCAATTCTATATCTTTTTCTGGTTTCAAATGGCTAATTGATGACTCTGTTAGAAGTATAAGTAGATTTTTTAAAAAAGTTTCAAGAAAAAAAAATGACTCCTTTTAGGGCATTTATATTGGAAAGGGAGCCCTGACACCTAAGGAAGGCAGTAATAATGGTAGGTGATGATTGTCCTATTGCCCAGGACCATCCAGACTGGTCTCCTTGCCTAATAAGAAAGAAACACATCATTCCACAGTCTCCCTGCTAATCCTAGTTTTTTCTAATCTAGCCTTGGAAGTGTTACACGGTTTTCTCATAGGCTCTTCTCTAATCCCCTTCCCCTTCAGGGTGTGAATCCAGGTAATGTAATAGGGTACGACGCATGCCAAACTGAAAGAGGGGAATGACTTCACAGTTTCTTGGCTATGCATAAGCTTTGTTTATGAGTATCCAATGAGATCCTGTAAATGCTTTTATCTGTTTGAGGCTTTAAAAAGTTTTATTTGTTTTAAATCAGTGCATGTTCTTCCCTGCCTACCAACATGATGGCTGCCAAAGAAACCCACAGTGGCTGCAGATTCTGTAATCACCCCACTGATTTTCTCTGCATTGAATCTATAACTGCACAGAAACTGGCCCTCCACATGCTGGATCTGATTTTTCTGTACCAGTTTGTTGTCTTTTTAATCAGCACTCTGCTTCCGGATAACAAGCCTCTTAATTTAAGGGCCCCCATGATCCTTTCCCTCCCATGGGTTGTTGTTGTATTAGTAGTACCTACTTCTCCTTCGAAGGCAGATTTCTCTATGCTATCTCACTTAACTCTATCCTATTTATTTCTGGTAGCTACCCTAGGTCAATTTGATCCTCTGGCTTTCTTTTATCTTACCTGGTACACAATATTGACTCCAGACTTGATGGAAACATTTCAGATTGAATGGATGAGAATGTAAGCAGCACTGGGCTGGTGCCAGGGCAACTCAATTTTCTGTAACCCCCCTGACTGATTAATACCCTTTCCTATACTCACTCTCCACTGTCAGCTTGGAAGATTGCTTGTGGGTTAACAAAGCATATTTTCTCAGTGTACTGATGAATCTTATGGGGGCAAAGGATTAAAGCAAACAAAAAAACTTGCTAAGTTGAACACATTTTCAACAGTTACTTTCACTCCATTTCCCCTAGGCCGAATGAATTCTGCTTAGGAAAGTCATTCTCCAGCTACATTTCCTATTGATTCCTGTTTCACTCAGAATCCAGCATAGAGACAAATACACAGAAGTGGATGATAGGTTAATATTATTTGTGAGCCAGAAATGGATTGAAATGCTTTTTTATAGATACAGCCAGAAGATTGAAAATGTAAAACAACCAAATCGTTTTAATGTAATATAGAACCTGTCAAAATTACAGGTCTGAAAACATTTAGGGTGGAAAAAACTGATCATCTTTAGATACTCTGTTCTTATGGATATTTGGCTATGACTCATAACTGAAATAGTCAGTAAATAAGTCCATACACTGCTTGCTCACTTAGTTTGTTTTTCTTTGTCCCTCTGAGAATCTCTAATCTGAATCTAATGTTGCTACTTGAAGGTCTCTACCTTATATAATCACATCAAACAATGGAGTATACATATTACTCACCTTTATAATTACCTATCACTTAGGCAGGCTGCCATATTTCTTCCCATCTACCATGACTCTTCTTCTTCTTCTTCTTTTTTTTTTTTTAACAAATTACTGATAATACAGTGTGGGTTCTACCATTCCTTTTAATCTGGTTAGTCACAGTAGAATCTTTCTGCCACACTAGGCATGGGGTGCATTAGTGTCTCTATGACTCTGAACATGCTTTTACTGATAAGGCAGCCTGCATTCTATTTAAGTTCATCTGGGTCTTTGTTTAATTGTCAAGGCTTTGCAACTTCCTGCTGCGTGAGAAGAAGGCGGATGGTCAGGCATCATCCTGCATCAGAGAGACTTTTTGAAAAGAAGACTTTCTAAAATAGAATTTCAATTGATAAACTGAATACCATGCATTTGGAAACACTCTCTGATAATGTTCTAACTCATGCATAAAAAAAAGTAAAGCTCATGAAGTATAGGTGACCATGTACTTTTGATCAGACTTCCAACCCTTCCTATACTAAACCTCTTGCAGAATTAGCGAAAACATGTTCTAGGAAGACACCCTGATCTGGGGCTTTCTCTTGTTTTGTTTTTTTCCTTCCTCACTGGAGATGTTTGTAATTAAATTCTATTACTCTGGAATCTTATTAGTGTCATTATTGAATGCTTTTCTGAAATTGCAGGCACTGTGGATACTCCCTTACCAACTAGTCCAGATGGTACATTTAAAGGGATGTGCATAATTTACAAAGGGTCATTTAGTGGAGCTTTATTTTAGAGTCCTCAAGGGGCAAACTCTAATTACAACTATGCCAGCTTTAAAATATTCACTAGTTTTCTTTCATGTCAATTTCATCACATGTGAAATTTGTTTTCTCATAATCCTTGCATTTTCTTAAAAGTCAAAGTTCAATTTTGTTTCAGTGTGATTTTAAAAGTCTGCCTGCTGAACATATTAATCCATACTGTTTATCTATGGGTCTATCTCTCATACTATACCATAGTCTTTGAAATGGAAAGTCACTGTTGATCACACTGTAGAAGTGGATCTCAAGACACATTTGTATTAAAAACCTCAGCTTTAATGCATCATTTGAAGCCAAAAGCACACTCTATCATGCAGTAATGCACAACTTTCTGAATCTCAATATAAAGACATATGTTTCAGGACACAGAGACTCACGTCTTGATTGGACATGTCCCAGTAGGGTCTCTCCCCATACGACATCACTTCCCACATAACGATTCCATAGCTCCATACATCACTTGCTGATGTGAATTTACGATAGGCAATTGCTTCTGGCGCGGTCCACCGGATAGGAATCTTGCCACCCTGTGACATTGGAGCCATAAGTTAGTCCCTAAGTACATCACTGACATGCTATTTTCATTTCTGAATGCAGTTACTACTTGCCAAGCAAGACCATGGCATTCTGGAGATAGCAATCAGAACAATAATAAGAGATGTGTTTATTTTAACTAAAGTCTTCTTTCTAAGTTGAGGTGGTTCTCTTCATGTGTTTTCTTTAGTCACAGGGAAGTGAACAAGTAATCTGTCTACCTATTTTTTAAAACTCTACCTATTACCTGAGTTTTGCTTGAGGCAATGTCATAGAAGAGAGGGAATCTCAGGTTTTACAAAATACACATGTTATCCAGGGCATATCAAAGCATATTTGTGGCTGACATTTGTTTTGACTTCTTGCTGAATTCTGTCATCCAGCAGCACAAAGGCAATGCTTAATATTGCATCAGAAATCATGAATAAAGAAAGATAAATATGAAAATTCTTGTCCATCACACTGTCTCTAGTCTTACATAGCATGAGAAACAAGCTTGATACATCTAGAAGATAATAAGCATCAATAGGCCCTGAGAGAATGCCAAAAGTAATGCCAGATATTAAATCCATTACTGACTTTAGTGGAGGAAGGGCAAGATTTTAGTTATTAAGTTATTATTTTGTCTATGTGGGTTTTTTAAATACTTTAAAAAGGCTAGGGATTTAGCTCAATGGTAATGTGCTTGCCTAGCATGCCTGAGGCCCTGGGTTCAATCCCAGTAATATTACCCAGGAAAAGTTTAAAATGCTTTCCCCACAGGACTCTCCCACCTCCCAGCTCTTTGTTGGACCCTCCCACCTCCCAGCTCTTTGTTTATCCTTACATGCAACATATTTTTAATTGTGTTTCAAATTTCTGAGGATTCCATCTGGAGAAGTGAATTCAGCCTGAATTCAGACCCTTGAGCAGTGGGAGCAGCATTGTTTTACACGTTTCCTTGGCTTTATTAGGGCTACTAGACAGATCAGTCTTCCTGGGAATTGCTGTGATGCGGGGGCCCCTCACTCTGTAACCCAGGGCCTTCCTTGTGTTTCTACTCCTCACCTCAGGACACTGGTGCTCCTCTGCCTTCATTAAGTGTGTCTCTAAGGGTTTATCTATGAAATTCTATCACACTAGAAGATTCCTTTGACTTTCCTATCTTCAACTACTGGGAAAAAAAAAAAATAAGAGATCTTTGCCTTTCACAAAGAAGTGTTCTTTCCTTAACAAATGGACTTGGAATTCAAAAGAGAATGCTATAAGCATCAAAACCAAGGGCCAAAGAAATTTAATTGAATGCCACCCCCCCAAAAAAAACCCTAGCCAAAAAACAAATCCCCGAGTCTTGGAATTGTAGAGGAAAAGTGGTGAGTGTTAAAAAGGGAAATTGTCTGGTGAGTGCCTCACGTTGATTTTAACAGTGTTGGCTTTAATAGCCAATAACTGTTTTATGATTCTGTGTTGATTCCATTAGTATTTTATATGCAGATTTTCAGATTAAGATAGCATAGCCATTAACTGTATTCTGAATATGCTTAACTGTGTCTCATCCCTGTTATCCATCTTATCAGTTCTATATATGTATTCTAAGATTCAGCACTCAACCAACTAGAAACATTGGTTTGTCTTGTTTAGAAAAACGATTTCTTTTCCAAGAGCAGAAAAGAGCCAAATAGAAGATCTCAGACAAGAAAGTGAAGAAAGCAAGAGAGCCAACTTAAGTGTAAAAAAAAATACAAGGGATGTTTTCTCCTGACTTTTTTTTTTTTTTTTTTTACTAATTGACGCTCTGTTGTATAAATCGCCCTTCATTTTTCCTTCTCATTTAGCTCATTTTTAAAGATACTTTCTTAATGTTCATTAGCACTTTGCCCAAGAAAATTCAGAGGAGAATTCATTTTTGCTTGTAGTTTATGGTACTGTAAAATTGTCATTTTTTTCAGAGTCTGCTTCAAAATTCCTTTTTTTCTTTTTAGAAATGTGGTTTAAAAAAGGGTGCAGGGACTTAAAACAAAAATAACAACAAAAACAAATCACAACGGGCTTAAACATCGAGGTGTGACAAGAAGTCCAATCTAATCAACATGAAAGGCAAGTCACCTTACCCTAGTAGTATAAGCTGCTTCTGGATCGTCCTCAAGCACTCTGGACATGCCAAAATCAGACACTTTGCAGACCAAGTTGCTGTTTACCAGGATGTTCCGTGCAGCCAGGTCACGATGCACATAGCTCATGTCAGATAAATACTTCATTCCGGACCCAATGCCACGCAGCATGCCCACCAACTGGATGACTGTGAATCTGCCATCATTCTTCTGCACAGGAAAGGGGCAGGGAACAATCCCATTAGCATTAGGAGAAATTAATTTCGCCAAGCATTTATTACTTGGGTTTTTTTTTTTTTTTTTTTTTTTTTAATATATATCTGTATCCGGTATGCAATGAAACTCAGCATTATTTCCGGGCCTTTCTGATCAAAGTCACTAATTCACTAGTAGAGTGTACCCTAGAAGCAAGGTTTGCTTCCTGATAGATGGAAATTTTCCAACTGTAATGAATCTATGGCTGGAGCAGCTCTATGATACAAGAATAAATCAAACACTCCTTTCATTGTCCATGGATTATTTAATAGCCTTAAAAATCACATCATTCTTTATTTCTCCATTTTAAAAAGTCCATGAGTACAACCACCCAGGATGGATAGAAGGAATCTGTTGGGGTTTTTCTAAATACCAGTATTCTTGGGTTTAATAGAAAGTAGATACGTACCCTGAGGAATGCATCCAAGGAACCGTTCTCCATGTACTCTGTTATGATCATTACTGGTTTACCTAGAGTTTTCAGAAAGAAAAACAAAAACCCTTGATGAGCGCTGCAGTTAATGAGATAAAAATGGGCTGTGCACAATTTTACTGCCAAGACACCTGTCTTGTGCGATCTAATTTAATTAAAACAAGCCAAGCTTATGCCTCAGCTGTGGGGAGCTAGGAATGAAATATTAAAAGGACGAGTAGGTGTAAACTCCATCTGGAAGGTTAACCCTTTGGGTGGCTTGTTGACAAGGTCTTTAACGAAAGTGGCCTCGGGTACCTCGGGAGCACATCAGTGGATAATTGTTCTCTCAAGCAAAAGGGGAAAACGATAAATGGGCAGGCCTGTTTAAACGTGAAAAATCTTTAGGATAATTAATTTATTGTGCTCCCAGAAGAGCCACTTGTGTGATGCTTAACAGTGCAATGGATGGAGAAAGCGTTTTTCTTTATTTAGGGACACCCAAGTTTCAGGGGGCAGTAGCTTGTTGGATATGCTTCATTATTCAGACACCATCTTAAAACCCAAGTATGCATGACATAAACTGCTTTCCCCTCATCTTGTATTGGTCAGGGTCTGCATCTTTCTCTTTTCTTTTCCTATCTACAAACAAACTTGCTCTTTTTTTTTTTTTCCTTCCTTAAACTTCCCATCTTAAAAAACAAACAAACAAATTCCAAAACCATCACAGGAAAGGTTCAGTAAATCATTTCATCTGAAACAAGAACTTCCATAAAGAAATCAAAATGAGTTTCAGGCCTGGGGGAGTGGAGAGAAGCAGCACTTTCACTTTACTATAGTTCTCTTTCTAGGAACCTTAAGAACCTTTCTTTGGTCTCTTCATTACTTTTAGCGGACTTAAGGTATCTAATGCCTTCTGTACACGGGGCATTGTTGAGGGATGGAGAATGGTAATCATCCATTTTTTACTAAGTTAAGAGGAAAGAGTTCGTAAAAGATTGCTTTGGATGAAAACAAAATGTCAGTTTGATGTATAAAAAATATTCACATTTATTGCTGTTTTCCTTGACTGGGCTTAGTCATTTAGTCAGGGAAAATGGTCTGGACACTTCCCTACGAAGAATACCCATAACTATTCTAATCTTTCACCCAAAGATGCTGTCAGTAATTTCTACAATAGGGAAGTGGGAAACATCTTTACTTCAGAAGTAAACGTTTTGAGGAGTCAGATTTTTAAATTTCTGTTAAGTCTGATGTTTTCTTCATGGTTTTCATTGTCATGTCTAAGAAATCGTTCAGAAGCATTTTTTTTTTTTTTTTTTTTTTTGCATCACAAAATAACACGGTGGAGATTGTGTTTTCAAGTAAGGAATGAAAGCCCACAGAACAAGTAGGAATCTTGGTGCAGACCAAAAGACGAATAAGAACTCTTCCAGATTCCTCCTTTGCTGGAGGGGGTGGGTTCTGGTACTAACTCCCACCCTCCATCAATGTAAGTAGGAAGCTCTTAGTCCTTGGACACATTTACCCTCTCCATCAGGGACCAGACTCTGTACAGAACAAATGTGTCTAAGTGAGTTTTAATTAACCTGCCTCAATCAAAGGACACTTTGTCAACTAATGAGAAAAGGGCGACTCTTTGGGCCATGTATTAACACCTACTTTCATTTCACCAGATTTCTCTGGAGCTTTGGAGAAGAGTAGAAGATCCAACAGAGAGGGAGTAGTGGGGAGAATTTATGGTCCTCCTGTCAATTTAGAAAGTTCCTCAAGTAACTGCTTGTAATGAAATCACACTCTTCTATCCCACCCTCACACCTCCCTGGTCTGATTTCTGGCACAATCTTCACCATTTCTCTGCATTCCTTTTTCTGTTCACTAAAAGTATCCATTTATCAGAACCTTTACGAGTTCTGCAAGAGGAATAAAGATGAATGTCGCCATAAGCAGAAGGGCTTATAAAGTGGACCCAGGCTGGGCTCATGGATGGAGGTGACTTCCTTCCCTGCAACAGGCAGGGAGGCAGCGGGGAGGGGAGACGGGAGGGATCAGGACAGCTTCTCCGGTAGAAATTTTAAATCATTTTAATTCAGTGACAACTGCATTATGCAAATGCATCCAGTCGTTTATAACAGTTACAGCTGTAATAGCTACGGGTTTTAGAGGCGCGGTGGGACTTTAATACAAAGATTCCCTGTTCCTTCTCTTCTCTGCAGAGGTGCTATGAAAATCACTGTCTGCGGCAGGAAAAACAGCCTAAGCTGAACAGAGCCTCCTTTTGAGAAAATGGACCTGCAGAAGTATTTAAACAGGAATGTTATCTTTTAATTAAAGTAGTGAGGGGCTCGAGGCAGCCCTGAAGGCCACAGGCAACAGAAAAATATCCTGTCTGTAAAACTAATCTTAAAAAGCAAATAGAGCTATTCTATGCTAATTATAGTCTTCACCTTAGGCAGAAAATTATATCTTCTTAGTTTCCTTTTTGGAAGGATTTTGAAGATGAGGGAAGATGGACTCCTTAAGACATAATAGCACTACTGAATAACACTAAAGAGGTCTGTTTTTTAAAAAAATAAAATAAAATAAAAAATCTGCTATTATGTTAACCACTCTAAATATTTCATTTTATTGCAAAATAAATTCATAAGGCAAGTTCTATTTTTAATCTCCTTTTTACAGATGAAGAAACTGAAAGAAAAAGACAGAGCGGCCAGTCAAGGTCACCTGTTTACTAGCCATAGAACTCAGAGGCAAGTCTTTCATCCATCAGGCCAATGGTTCGCACAGTGGGATCCCTTGGACCTGCCAAACTCCTGCTGCTGAAGCAAACTTTTTGGGACAAGGCCCAGGAAACCATTTCAGTGAACCTTCCAGAAAAGCCTCAGGTAGGTTTAAATCTGAGAACCTCAGAACTGGTGCATATTTTCACTCTTTAGTGGTCTCCTCATTTCCTCTTCCTAAAGACTTTGTTCCTTGGATCCCACTACCAGTCCGTCCCAGACCTAACATCTCCATTTGCTCTGAAACCCCCCTCATCCCCACTTCACCTACCAGAGTAGCCATATTCTCACTTCTCTGCACTTGCTGATTGACAAGCTTTCCACACACACCTTGAATCAATAAGAGAAACACGGGCCTCACTGAAGACAGAGCCAAGACCTGCAAGGTCCTTGACTTACACTAACTGCAGCAGGTACCGTAGCTCCTGGAACAGAGCCACCTCAGACGGTAACCGCTTGAGCTGCACAGTCGGTGGGACCCTTCATAAGTTGGCCTCAGCCAGCCTTACATCTGTCGAGCTGGGTTGCATTTTAACTGAAGCATGGTTCACAGGCTCAGCGAATGCTAATGGACTAAAAAGGGAAGGTTCAACCAGGTGTTACTTTAAATAGGTGCTGAACAGCAAGAGCCATAAATCAGGCAGTGCAGACAAGCAAATCCCCTGATATAATGAAGAGTCCCAAGATTCACTCCCTGCATCTGGAACAGAAGCTTCCAGTGCAAGGTGTGTGGAGGTTTTGTTGTGCTTTATATGAAAAGTACTTAAAATTTATTTTGCTCACCATCTGCTTGTGCCTACCCTGTGACAATCAGTTTGGTCTAGTAAAGATTTGAAAGATGACTTGGCGTACCAAAAATATGCAATATTAATTTCCCTAAAAATCTCACGCAGGCTGCCTTGGAGATAGGGTATCAGCCAAAATCGTAGACTCATTGAGAGCTGACTACAAGATTAATGACTTGTCCTGCACTGATTTCCTCCTATTAGCAATCAGTGGGTCTGCACCATCTGTCATTTCCCTAGAAAGAAAATGTGTGTTTAATTTCCCAGTAACTTTGGACTCGGCTTTGTGACAGGAATGACCCACGTACATTTGGTGACGACGCCTTCCAGGTGAATTATGTTTGGGTGGTCAAATTGTCCCATGATGCTGGCCTCGCTCAGGAAGTCTCTCCTCTGTTTGTCTGTATACCCAGCTTTCAGCGTCTTGATGGCCACACAGATCTCTCTCTTGCCAGGCACTTTGAGACGACCACTGCAGACTTCACCAAACTCACCTTATGAAGAGAAAAGGGTTCTACAATGACGGACTGGAAATGCATTTAAGATGAAAGAGGAATAGTTGACATCCATTGCATGCCTATTACATGACAGCATTGTGCATACGTATTACATAAATGATTTCACTTACTCCTCCCCAAAACTCAGAAGTCGTTGCTATTATTAGCTCCGTTTTTTTTTTTTTTTTTTTTTTTCAGGGAAAACTAAGACTTAATGAAAACAACTGGCCAAAGTCTTATAGTTGGTAAGAAGTGGAGTGAACATTTTGAATGCCATCTATCTGACTTCAGATCTCATATGCTTATTAATTTAATCCTGGGAATATATTGAAATCTGTGCCAGAGTTTTTCATTGCACAACATATACTTCAAATAAGGAAATTTTGTATGCACCAATGTTTACATATATGAATGTGCATACAATACACTCATACACGTGCATCCATTTATATAAGCCACATACATATATTTAACATCCACCAAGAAAATAGACTTATTAGATAATCAGACTTACCAACTCCTATAACTTTTTCAATCTTAATGCAGGATGCGTCAATTTCTTTGGCAAATTCTCGAACTGCCTGGTTGGGGTCTTCATATGTAAAGGGATCCACGTAAGTCCTAACACCTAAGTAAGGAGCACGGAATAAGTTGGCTGAACACAGTTCAGGAATGACTAATAAACATAAGTAGTCTGGATCTAAAATCCTTAATGTAGGAAAAGCCAGGTTAGCTGTGTGGTCTTGCATGTACAGAAACTTTAACTTCTTGCTCTGATTTTCGTTAGTGGGTAGACAAAGACTTGTTAGCTATTTAAGACCCTGAAGCTCTACTGACTTCCTGGAATGTCTTCCCACTTCAAGGACAAGAATTTAAAAACAACACATCCCACAGAGGAAAATATGGTCTCTAGGAGGAAATTTGGAATGTGTTAGCTGAATATTGTTAGCCTATCCAGGCTCGTGGCTCCTCTGTCCTTGCACTAAGTCCAAGACCTACTTTCAGTTAATGTCCCTTAGCAAGAAAATAGGGACTTTCTTTTTCAGCTGGGCCTGTCCACAGTGTCACATTTCGCCTACTGTCAACCTGTTAAATTCGTGACCTCTAGTTAATGAACATAGACTTGGTTTATATAGACAAAAAGAGCAAATCTACTAGTTGACTTGAGAATATACTGACTCTATTGAACCTATACTTTCTTTCTATTTTGGAAAAAAGGTGTAATAAACAAATATATTGATGTTCACCTGGAAGCTTCAGCTGGAGATAACCGTGGAGACCTAATTGTGAATGGATTAGATGCCAGGAAGTGCAATCCAGCCACGCTGCACACAAATGAAACTCAGAGCATGAGTTCTGAGAAACGCTGGGGACAGGCATCACCGAGAGTTTCCAGTGACATTTGCACCTGTATTCACTGGAGTTCCTTGGGGCCCTGTGATTGTGTGGGCCACCAGTCGGCCCAATCTCTTTGATTTTCCAACCTTGTCCATCTTTTCCCTTGTCTCTGCATCCACTAATATGAATAATCTACATATTGGCATTTTCTTGCTAGTTCTCTTGTATGTGTGTGTATGTGTGGGGGGTACTAGAGTTGAACCCAGGATTCTTTACCATGGAACTACTTTCTCAGCCCTCTTTACTTATTTATTTATTTTCTCATTTTGAGACAGGGTCTCTGTAAGTTGTCCAGGTTGGTGTCCAACTTGCTGTTCTCCTGCCTCCCTGGGATTCCTCCCAGTGGGATTGCAGGTGTGCACCACCACACCTGGCACTACCTCTTTTTAGTATATCGTTTTTGTTTATGAACATGGTAGGTATGACGACAAAACTAAACAGTATAGTTTTAAAAACAAAACAAGGTGGGCAGATAACAAGTTGTCAGATACCCCATATCCTTTGTTGCTTTCAGACTCTAGTCAGAAAATCTTCCCGTAGAAAAAAATCTCAAGCTGCTCTCTTTCGCCTACCTCCTGGTACTCATTTCTGTTAGTGATAAGCCACCCATGGATATGAAAATGTAAATGGGTTTAAATTAGATTTAAAATTCACTTCCTCATTCACATGGTCTATGATATTCGATTGCACTTGTGGCCACAGGTGAACAGGGCAGCCACAGCCCACTGTCAACATCTCACAGGGTCCCACTGCAACCTGCTCCTGGAGAGGTCAACCACTGCTGCTGTCAAGGTCATTCTGGAGTCTCTTCTTTCAATTTATTCTTTGACTCCATTTGGAACATCAAAACACCTAGAATCCACTCAACAATTGATGAGGGTTACTGATTTCACATCACATACTGCCATTTTTTGGGGGAAGTACTAATTACTGTTCAACTTCTTAAACTTTTACTGGCCCTCCCCCAATTTTTAGCTGGTAAAAGAAAAAATTACCCATTTTAATCTTGCACCAAGCTACAAAAATATGCTACCTTGACTGACATTTTTTTTTCAGGCTAAGATAAGGATAAAGAAGATTCTGAAGGAACTTCTCCACATTGACTGTGTCTTTCATTTCACTTGAAATCGTCCTGGATTACCTACTTCAGTTTAATATCCTTAAAGTGTATTATTTGGATAAGGAATACATTATATAATCACTAATGGCCATATTAGTCTTATCTAGACATTTTCTAAACTAGAAAACATGACACATGCTCTAGAAACACAATTCTTTTAACCTAATGTTTTGTACCTTGGTTCAAATGTTTTTCTTCATCCGCTTCTTGTTTCGCTTTGCTGTATTTACTCCGTCTGTCAAAAAATTGTTAAAATAAGAAAATTATTTCCCTCCAACACAAAAGCTATAGCAAAAGCCATAAGATGGGTTTCGCTGTGAATCGGGCAGATATGTGATGCACATTTCACAGATGAGAAAGCTGAGACTTAGGAGACATGGAAAAATGAGGTAACCATTTGTCACCTGGATGTAGTCGTGGTTCTTAAACATAAACCAAGCATTTTACGATTATAAAAATTTCAAACTCTCAGAGGAAATTTGTCTTATTGAAAATAAGGTCATATTTCTGTATTCTTGATTGAAATAAACTGTCATAGGCAATTCTCCATGAATCAAAAGGCAATAACGTTCAGTATATAACAAGTAATATAATAAGTCTTGTTGTTGTAACCAGGATAGCCACTACCACAAGAACTTCACATCATATTATACTCTCAAACAATATGGTGACTCAGTTTAGCTGCCACATATAAATCCCTAAATTATTAATGAAAATAATAATTATTTTGAAAATTTAAGAAGTAAATATTTACTTTCCACGGGACTATAATTTGTAAGATTTTGTAGAAAACTAACAAGAGTAAAATGGAAAGTTTTTATTTGCTTTGCTAATTCTCTTCTTGAAAATGATTCATTAAATCTTGAATCAGGATTGTATGTATCATTTACATGAACTGGGAAATTAACACAATTCTTGGGAATCAAAAATCTATAATATTAAGTTATATATATATATATGTATAAAGAATTTTTTGCAGTGCTGGGAATTAAACCTAGAGTCTTGCTCTTGTTAAGCAAGTCTTCATTATATGTAAAAATTGAGTCAGGAGAATATATATCACATAAAAGAATTAGAAATCCTCTTCTCAGCAAAGCAAACAATTAATAATGTGAGGAAAGAGCCTACAGATTGGGAGAAAAATCTTTACCACATGCACCTCCAATAAAGCATTAATCTTTAGGATATATAAAGAACTCGAAAAACTTAACACCAAAATACCAATAACCCAATCAATAAATGGGCTAAGAAACTGAACAGACACTTCACAGAAGAAGAAATACAATTGATCAAAAAATATAGGAAAAAGTGCTCAACATCTCTAGCAATTAGAGAAATGCAAATCAAAACTACTCTAAGATTTCATCTCACTCCTATCAGAAAGGCAATCATCAAGAATACAGGCAATAATAAATGTTGGTGAGTATGTGGTGAAAAAGGTACATTCATACATTGCTGGTGGGACTGCAAATTGGTGCAACCCCTATGGAAAACATTATGGAGATTCCTCAGAAAACTGGGAATACAACTACCATTTGGCCCAGCTATCTCACTCCTTGATTTATATCCAAAGGACTTTAAATCAGCATACTATAGTGACACAGCCACATCCATGTTTATAGTAGCTCAATTCACAATAGCTAGACTATGGAACCAACCTAGGTGTCACTCAATAGATGAATGGATAAAGAAAATGTGGTGTATATACTCAATGGAATATTACTCTGCTTTAAATAAGCGTGAAATTCTAGCATTTTCCAGTAAATGGCTGGAGTTGGAGAATATCATGCTAAGCGAAATAAGCCAACCCCACAAAACCAAAGGCCAAATATTTTTTCTAATATGTGGATACTAATTCACAATAAGGCAAGGGACACTAGGGAAGAAGAGCATTTTCTTAGATTAGGTAGAGGGAAGTGGTGGGAAGGGAGGGGAGGGGATATGGGTATAGGAAAGATAGTAGAATGAAACAGACATTATTACTGTATGTATATATGTGACTACATGACCAATATGATTCTGTAACATGTACACTCAGAAAAATGAGAAATTATATCCCATCTATGTCTGATATATCAAAGTGCATAAATGCATTCTATTGTCATGTACAACTAATTAAAACATTTAAAACATTTAAAAAATGAATTAGAAAATTAGTTGGTTGTAACCCTCTAAACCTGAAATTATATTAGTGAATAAAACGTGTAATTTTATGACTGTCCAAATATAAAATTCACATTGGGATCTATAATCATCCTGAGTTTTAATTTCAAAGACAAGGTAAGTTAGGACTCTCACAGATGAGGAAACTGAAGCCCCCAGGTGAGGAAATCTCTCCCCACACCACAGTGTGATCCTATCAGGATCTGATACCCTCGACTCCTAAACATTGAATAGGCAGAAAGGCAGGATGACCAAGCAGAAGCCAAAATAGCAGAGAACCTAAAGGAGTAAGGAGGGGCAGCCAGAGTGGCAGCCCAAGGCAGCACATGGGCATCAGTGGGAAGCCTTCCTCCCACATCCCTCCTGGAATTGTCAGCCACACAGGATCCAGCTCAGCAACCAGACCTCGGCAGAGCCTGCAGATGTTGCTCCATGTGGATGATTCTCTTGCAAATAATAATACCTTGCACTTTTACACTGCATTTAACTTTTCAAAGTGCTCTCATCACATATATTATCTCCTCCCCTAACTGTTTGCAAAGCAGGAACCAGCTTAGCAAAACAGAGACCCCAGTTACTACTCTTAACGACAGAGTGCATATTTCAGTCCCAAATAATAGCCTGTGTTTTCCTTTGCATTTAACTTTTCAAAGGGCCTTAGAAGGGTGTATTATTTAATTGCATCTTCATGACAACCCTATGAAAGGAATCAGGTGGAAGGTCACACACTCAGTTCCATTGTACAGATGAGGACGCGGAGCCAGGGGGGCGAGTGAATCACCCACATCCCTTCTTGGCAAGTACAGGATTTGGTGAGTGCCCTGATCGGGCCCATGCCTGCACAGCATGTCTTGTAGTGGGGACATGGTTGCAAGGGCAACTGATGAGACTCACATGAGCAATGGTACATTTTACATCAGTAAATCCATTTACATTTCATCAAAGAAAACAAACAGGTTTAAACACCCCAAACCAAATAACTTTCTCTGAAAGTTAAAGTTCCCTCCAAATCCTCCTCCTTTACCCTCTTTTAAAGTAAATATAAGAGGGTCAGGTCAAAGATTACTAAAACATTTAATGTCAGGAGAACACCATGACTGGGTCCCCAGGAGGTAACAGGGTCCTGCCAGCCAGAAGGATTGTATCTTAACAGAGCTCCTAAAAGCTTTATCTAAAATCATAAGCATGTTGTTTAAGTCATTTTAGATCTATGATGCTAATGCAATTTTTTTTCCTTTAAAGGAAAAAAATAATGTATAGAACAAGAGAGCTTTGATAGTACCCCCCACCCCACTATTTCATGGGACCAGGGCAGAATAAAGGGCCTCAGGTATGCTAGGCAAGTGCTCTACCACTGAGCTACACCCTCAGCCCTGAGTAGCCACATTAAATTGTCAGTGAATTAGTCAAAAACCTGGCATCTACACAAACCAGTGACTTCACACTGCCCAGAAGCATGACTTTCTGTTTGACACCAAGCACATTCATTTAATATGGACAAAGCCACAGGAATACAAAGTGGCAGGGGTCACATAATTACAAGGTAGAGCCACCCACCTACCCCTTCCTCAGACTTCCAAACACACAAGGAGGAATTCAATGAGTGGAGAAGGTATATTTCTGAAGAACTGCTTTACTTGGAGGGCTATTTGGAAGAGGGGACCCTTCCAGGCTACAGGGAACACTAAGGATTCCTGTTCAGAGACTAATTGTAGCCTATTAGCTCTCTAATAATACCTTGAAACCCAAAATGCCTATGTTCTGCCCTACCTTTGTCACCTGATGACCCTTTCTCCTTAGCCCAGAGCAGGACAATGGGGCTCATTATTGCCCCAAGAAAGAAAGGCCACTGAAGCTTACTACTGGGTCAGCCAGCGTGGAGGAGCCCAGGAGCCTAAGGAAGAGATGACTCCAAATTGTCCGCTGGGGAGCACCTGAATGGCAGAGGAAACCTTTGTTGAAGATTTCCTAATTATGGAGATGTGGGCAAGCCAATTAAAAAGGGGCAGGAGAGCAAGTGAATGGTCCAGAAGGAAACATGGAACCTTTCAACAGCAGGAGTTACAGAAAAGGGCTTGCTCTGCAGGTGAAGCTTTGAAAGAGGGACTGGGCCCTCCCTGCAGTCAAAGGGACACGGTAATAAGGGTATTAGCCCACATTGTGGAGGAACAGCATGAGCCCTCGGGGGCCATGTGTTGATTCTGGCACCTTGACTATTCAATACACCCAACAGAATAGAGGAGGGGAGCGTGGCAGGGGCCCTACCGCATAAACCCTGCTTTTATTAAAATACTAACTTTCCCCATCAAGTGGACAGATTTGATTGATGTGGTTCACTGTTCCAAAACTAATTAGTAAAAGGTAAGTAATTTATTCAGCTAAAGTGCAGATTAAGGGAGATAAAGCAATGCAATAAGCAGAACTCCAGGTGGGACCCTTCGCAGGGCTCCCCAGCATTGCCATGAAGATTCATAGACGCGATTCCTCTTCTTCCCCTTCCTTAAGCTGTCATTGTGCTTGCACCGAATGGTGTCTGAATGTTCTTTGTGAGCAACATTTTGAAATAGTTGGAATCAAACCGTACTATTGCAGGCAAGTTGTTTAGAAATGTTCTGAGGTACCATCTGCCCCCTAATTGTGTGAATTTACATGATTTCATCAGTCGATTTAGGCTAACATTTAAATGTATTCATTCTTATGTGATCATAATATTGCAGAGGAGAAAATTAGGGTGCAAGGAAGATACAGGCTAAATGGAAACTGTTTTTGCATTACATGTACCATTAGCTCCAAAATGGAAAGATCTTAACATTCTAGAAGACAAAGCTAACTTGCAAATTTGAACTTTATATTGTGCATTAGACTTGTACATTAATTCACAGATTGCAAATTCCCAGTTCCTAATTTATATATGTGATATATATATATACATATTTGTATATATGTAGATATACATATATATGTATATTGCCATAGCTATTTTATTTAATTCTTTCTTTCTTCTTTTTTTAAATTTGCTTTTTTTTTTTTTTTTTTTTTTTGCATTTTTTCCCTAAAATCAATTCATTTCTTTTTCTTTAATTCAGGTAGAAGAGGTATTTTATAACCCTAACATAAATGGAGTCATCATTAAAACGTTGCTAAGAAAAGCAGTTATCAGGTAATACTTCCCCCTGACCACCAAATTTCCCCTTAAAAAAAACAGATCTCTTCTTGTATTCCAGTTCTTTCTTAAAATTGTTTCTCATGTTTGAACAATAAAATATTGTTGAGGAAAACAGACTAGCCTGAAACAATCTGAATTATTACTAGTTTGTATCATTAATATAAAGGAATGGGTTTGTCAGAGAAATTCAACACTGATCCAGTCCTTAGCCCTGGCACTTAGGACTTTATGATGGTATTGTTAACAGTCCCTTTAAAAAACACTTTACAAAACAAGTTTTGAAAAGTGGTTACATTGTGGAGAACACAAAGTTAAAATATGTAAATAGGGAAATGGAGCCTTGGATTAAGATACAATTCCACCCCCCCCCCCCACACCCCTATAGTGCCGGAAAAGCATTCTACCACTGAGCTACATCTCCAGTCCCTTAAGATAAAATTTCGAGGGTCAGCATCTCATTTTTGCACCTAAAACAACCTACACAGCAGATTTGATTATGTACTCTGAAAGTCTAACAGCAGTCTGACATGATAACTTGAAGAAGACACGACGAATCAATGATGCCTATAAGAATGTAAACTGATTTATTTAACATGTGGTAAAAACATACACAGATCAACTTTATAAAATCTTGTTTCAAATAAAGTTCATAAATTTAGTAGTTTGAGTCTTTCACTGAGATCCCTAAATGCTTACACATTGAAGTAGTTGAAAAAATAAGTAGATCATTTGAATTAAAGTAAAAATGGGAGATTATTCTGGTTAATCCTTAAACTCAGACTGCTCAGCATAAATTGAAAACAACATAGAAAAATCAATTGCTATTAAAAAAAAAAATCCAGCAAGAAGCTACATGTGAACCTGAAGCTATTTCCTTTTAATAATGAATTACAACAAGCACGATTTTCTCCTTGAGGTCATCAGAAGAACTGAGGCTTTTCTCACCAGGTAAGTCCTTTCTATCTACTTTCTTACAAAATCTCATAGGCCCTCAGTAGTGTGGGATCCAGTTCAAGGGGACTCCTTTAAGGGCTCTGTTTCTAGCAGCCTTTCTGCCATCAACATCCCGTGACTCTAAGAAGCAAGAGGCAGTCCCACTAGAAAAAGGACAGAACTGCAATTTTTCAGGCAAGGACGTTTGATCTGTTGCTTTCCTGCACTGCTGGATGAAGTCTGGCAAGATTATTTCGGAGGTACCATTTACTACCTTTTATTGGTATTTTGCTGAGAGCCTGGGCCTGACTTTTGTTCATAGTACCTGTCTCCTTTCTGTTCACCTGTTCTTGTCCCATTTAAACATTTGTAGTCCAAGATAAGAGAGCAGACAACCTGTGTGGGGAGAGAACTGGCTGAGTGAGCATAGGCTGCTGCAAGCCTGTCAGCTACCTGGCTCCAGGCAGCCCTTCCCATGACAGCTTTATGGCCAGCACTAAAGAATAATCAATATGAGGGCAAGGGGTTGACATTTCATTTTCTAAAAAGTGATCCATTGAGGACCAATCACCAAGCAGTGTTTATCAGCCTTGGGAAGTGACATTTTTTTTTTTAATGGGGGAGAAGGGACAGGAATCATCGCTAGGTAACTCGACAGGCTCAATTCTCTAAGGGGGGAAGGCTCATAATTGGAAATCCGATGCATCCTGCTATCAATCCTGCCTTATGTAATAAAGTGATCAATAAAAGCAGAAAGGGAATTAAGTCATCAAGCTTGAGGATGCTATTTTCTATAGCCATGGCTTTTAATAATCTTGTCTCCCTGCATTACCTTTTCATATGTTTTTTTCTTTCTTTTCATCAAAGCCAATATGTTAACCAGAACGTCCAGGAAAAACTTAAGAATGAGGTGGCTTATTTGTAAAACTCCAGTTTGACTCTGTATTTAGGGCCACTTAAATGAAAAAGGAAAAGGAAAAGGAATCTAAAGGAAAATTGAATCATGACCACAGAATGTTTCAAACCAAGATCTTAAGAAATGGTCAGGACAAAAGATAAGACCCACTTCCTCACATGGTTCTGAGCATTACATAATGCTGGACTTCAGATATTATTTTTATTTTGAGGTGGAGGTAATTAATACTATGTTCCCTATTTCCATACTTCAAAACATTTTTAATATCTAACAAAGATTGTTAAAAATTAAACATTGTAATAATTTCAGAAAGAAATTGCAGAAATATGTAATAATGAAAAATAAAAGTCCATGCAATTTCTAGACACTCCTCATCCCAGTCGGTTCCCCACAATTGAAAGGGTGCATATCAATGCGTACAGTTTCCCATGTGTTACACGCATGACACATGGACATCTGGAATCAAATGGCAGTGGACAAAGAAAAGGCTCATCTTTTATTTGGTGGGGTAGAGTATTGGGGATTGAACACAGGGGCACTCAACCACTGGGCCACATCCCCAGCCCTATTTTGTATTTTATTTAGAGACAGGGTCTCACTGAGTTGCTTAGCGCCTCACCACTTCTGAGACTTTGAACTTGCCATTCTCCTGTCTCAGCCTCCAGAACCACTGGGATTATAGGCGTGCACCACCATGCCTGACAAGAAAAGGCTCATCTTGATTGGCTCCTGCAACTTAACTTCTTGGAGATGGAACTCGCTGCTCTGAATCAGACACCTACTTAAAGATTTTGCACCAAAAGGAATGAATTTAGTGACAAATGTAGATGTCAGTACCAAATGTGACGTCGTTCCATACTGTGTTATTACTAGAGGGAACAAATTGTTTTCTCCAAACTAGGACTTGTGGAGAGTGAGGGTGAGAGCATGGTGTTAAGAAATGTATGTGAAAACTGGGGCCATCCAGAGAAACTAACATATGTGGTCATCACCCTGATTATAATGTACGTCAGAGCAAAGCAAAAGCGGGGTGGCTTGCCCAGGCAGTGGAAACAGCTACAGGCATTGTTGTGACATTAGTGAGATCATCCACAGCTAGGGAGGGACAGTACAACAAATGTTGGCCTGAGAGCTAAGCACGACTATTGGGGACATAGTAGCTCTAGCTACGAGTATAGTAATGCAGTGTTCCTAGACCAGCAATTCACCTGTCTTCTATCACTTTCCTCTTCTATAACAGGAAAAGCTGTTATTTGAAAGGATCATTCTGACACCTTGTGAAACTGTTGATGGTGTAAGGAGGTAAAGGTGAAATAAGAGGTAGATTCTCATACATGAAGGACAAAAAGGCCTAGACACAGGACACTTATTGATGATGAGCAGCTGTACCCCTTGGAGCATCTGGCAAGTTCTGAGTAAGTTAGATGGATGACAAGACTGGTTCAATAGCCACTGCTAGCACTGAGTCAGACTACAAGCACACCGAGTATAAATGATCTGCTTTTTGAGATTCCTTTCAAGGGCAATGTCATGCCCACCATGTAATCCACGAATACTTTCTAAGAATACTGACAACCTTTCCCACAGGGATATGACAGTGTAGTATTCATTTCTTTGCTTCAGTTACTGTCATTTTAACCAACATCATGTTGAAGCACCTACTATATGCGGTATCTCTGATGCCTATCAAATTCCTCTTGTTAATAATATTTGGAAGCAGATAATGATCATTTCTTTTAAAAGTGAGAAATGAAAGTTTGAACAGGTGAAGAAATACAGCTGGCAAATGACGTAGCTTAACTTTGGGGCCACGCTTTCTCTTACAGTTTCATTTCCCTTTGGCTGTAGATCTAGGCTGAGCAGAGAGATAAATGTAACACCCATAGCTGAAAGTGTCTGCGGATCACCTGTTGACTTGCTTTTCAGCTTGGTTTCCTGGAATTAGTTGTGTCTTTGTGGGACACTCAGCAGAGAGGGCTGCCACCCAGTTACTGCCATTAGCCACAGTCGGGATGTGGGAAGATCAAAGCAACAAGGAAGGAGCTTGGCATGCAGATGCCCTGTTTATGATGCCAATCAAAGGCCTTGGCTTGGTGTGGAGGAGACAAAACGTTTCGTCATAAAACAGAGAAAGTGGGGGTGGCTTCAGAGCTTACCTCCTACTGATGACAAAAGCTGCAATGAGAATGACCACCAGCACCACGCTGCCGGAGACGGACACCAGTAGGACAGTGGAGTTGGCTCCATCACCAATGATCCGGGAAGGCACTGCAATGACAGTGACAGGAGGTGACCTGGCGAAGGTGCTATGGGGTGGAACTTCTGATTGGGCCAGAATATTCAACCGTCTGAATCTTTCTGGAGTCTACAGTCTTTGCTAAATATACTTGGAACAGGATTTTCCAAGCCTTAGTGAATATAAGGACCTTTTTTTTTTTTTTTTAAATCACTGTATGTCAAACTTAAACAGAAGACTCTTATTAAATCTCCTGGCCAATGCAGGATTTTTTTTCCTGTCTTCTTTTTCCTTTCTAACATTATCCTCACTCTGACGTAATGACCAAATGCATTGGACATTTGGAAATTTCAGAAAGAACAAATGGTTTTGAATGCCCTTCTTTCCTTACAGCTATGAAAAGCTTGACTATTACTGCCCAGGTCTAAGCCCCTTCTTTCTGGTAGCTTCCCTGGATGATCTCAATGGCATCAATTCCCTTCAGATTCAATTCCACTTTCACTTCTGCTTTTTTACATTCTTATTTTATTCAATTGTTTGTTAATAAAACTATTTTCCATAACTGATGTTGAAAATTCTGCTATACCATCTCTTCCTCAAATAGATCCAATTTTGGTTTCTTAATTAAGGGGGTGGAAATGTCTTATGCAGCTGCTAGTGTGGATAGGCTCCTGGGTAAACTTTTGATTCAACCAACCAGTGGATTCAACTGACAATGTGAAACATTTGATATGTTTGTGCAAAAAGGCTTTAAAACACACATACACACAGAACTCGTCTGACTAGGTTTTAACAAACTCCTAGAAATAGGTAAGGGAAAAAAAAAAAAAAATTTTTTTTGGCCCCTTCTTCCATTTTCTCATGGAAAAAAAAAATTCCTTGTCTTAATGGAAGATAGACATGCAACCCTTAATTAGTCAGTTTAATAATCAATCCCATTTTTCATGGTTTATAGAAGGCTCAGAACAAGAGGAAAATTGGCAACACTTTTCATTCCCATGAAAAGACACATCAGACAGTATTATAAAAAGTGTCCTTCCCTCAACAGCATGGGGTTTCTAAGTGACAGACATGGGCCATCTTATTTCATGCAGCATTCATTACAACAAAACGTCTGCCTAACCAAAAATCAAGTACGGCTCCTTAGGTTTCATGTTGGTGGAATTGGCCCTGTACAGAAAAAATCTCCGAGGGAGTGGAATCAGGGGTCCATGTTACCTGTGTTGGTTGTGACCTCCAAGGGCTCACTGAAGTCCCCATAGCCAGCTGCCGTCCGGGCCCGCACATGGAAGACATAGGAAGTCAGGGGGTTCAGGCCTTTGATGTCCGTGTTCCTGGCAGCTGTCCGGACTATACGATAACTCCGTTCGTTCTGATCCTACATTATAGAAACATAAAGTTGATAAAGGTGACAAAATAAATCATAAATCTTCTGCTTACTCTAGGACCAACATTGAGGGAGCTAACACAATCTCCTCAGAGGTTGAAAGTAAGTAGGGCAGAACTCTCGAACTCTACATTCTCTTCTATGGACTCTTTTTCTTTCTTTCTTTTTTTGAGGTATGTATGTGTGTGTATATGTGTGTGTGTGTGTGTGTGTGTGTGTGTGTTGCTACAGATATAACCCAGGGGCTCACACATATAGGCAAACACTCTACCACTGAGCTATGTGTCCAGTCCATTTGTAAAATTCTATTTTGACCCAGAATCTTGCTGACCTGGGAACTGTGATCCTCCTGCCTCAGCCTCCAGAGCACCTGGGACAACAGACCACTGAGCCAGGCTGGTAAGCACCCTAGTTATTTCTTAGAGGTTGAAAGAAGCACAGAGCAAGGTCTGGCTGCCATTGAACCTGAGTACATACAGATCTTTACTCATAATCATTTTTGAAAAGAACATTAAATGATGGTTGGTGGCTTTTCTAGCTCCACACCCAGCAATTTAAAAGAAATAACTATAAGAAGGTCCCTTGTCTTTTTCTATTTTCTGTCTGGAAAATGCCAAAAAATACTGTAATCTGATTTCAATTAAAAAATCCAGTCCCTTTTCTGTTTTTAATAAGGAAGTCAATAAGTGATTATCTTTAAAAGGAGAGGACAATTGTTCATTTTCTAGACAGCCTTGAGTGCAAACAGCTCTCTTCAGAATTGTTCTTTAAGAGACAAGTTATTTGTAAAAATAATGCCTTTCTGTAACTTTAAGAGGTTGAAGAATGTAATTTTCCTTCCTTGATTTTCTATTAAAAGTCATCAAAACCCACACCCTCATTCTGAATAGCAGTCACCTACTTAAACAGATCATTATTTCACTGTTATGAGTCACTCTCCCTGATAGAAGGTTTATAGATTAGGACTTCTCAGCAGTCTTGATTCTCATTACTAGAAAGAATATAATGATATTAGAACACAATATACCTTTCTCTATTTTTCAAGATAACTAATTAAATAATAAATGTTATAACCAGATTTGATTGGGAAGTAAGATACATTTGGTTTTGGGATTCACAGATATATCCCAGTTTAGAACTGGCCAACACCTGAACACAAGAGGCAGAAGGGAGGGAGGGAGGGAGGGAGGGAGCAGGGAAGGAGGGAGGGAGGGAGCAGGGAAGGAGGGAGGAAGGCAGGAAGAGAAAGGAGGAAAGTGGCTCATCCAGCAATACCTTCTCATAGTATTTGACTTCATATTCCAGGATTACCCCATTGGGCCGATCTGGTTCTAACCAAGCCAGAGCCACGCTGTATCTTGTAACTTCTTTAGCCTGGACCAAAGCAATGGATGATGGTGCTATTTGGGGAAAAAAAAAAAAAAAACATTTTATTTTAGGGGAAAAAATGTTTTTGGTGGTATCAGTCAATAATTCCATCCTACTTTAAAAAAATCATATGGAATCCTTTTCCTTTTGATCATTTTGCTCTTCTCCAGTACAAAAGTGCATCACTTTTTTATCATTCTGTCCAAAATGTGCTTACATGGTTTGACTTCATAAGACCATCTCTGAAGCAAAGGCCTGGTGGGTCTGCAGTTCCATAGGCACTGGGAGCTGTTCCTCATACAAACTGCGGGGTGTTCAGAGCATGCTCTCTGGCCTTTGACCTTTGGTAAACCATAAGAGCCTTTGGGAGACCTGACTCACATCCTATCTCCAGGTATTTGAAGTGTCATCTTACTGATATTTAATTTTATACAAGCAAGAGAATGTGCAGCTCTTTCCTGGTAGTGTGGGGAATACCAGGAGGCAAGCGATTTACATACTTTTCAATACAAATAAAGGCACTGCTTAATTACAGTATGAGTTTTCAGTTTAAACACAACCGTGAAAATAATGAAGACCACAAATAAAGCACGAAGGGTCTCTCTGGACGTAAATTTTGCAACTATTTCACAAGAGTTGAAATACTGCTTGTGCCTGCTGAGTAACAACTCTTCCTCTTTCCACCAGGAAAGAGACAGACGCAGTCCTCTGCTGGGTGTGCTATTGGGAGAGGGAAGGAGGCCATGTTTGAGATGTGTGAAACCAGGCTGCATAATGCCTGCTCCCCTCCTGAAGGGGTCACACCTCCAGCCAGCTGCCATCAAGCTCTGCTGTGACTGACAATAGCCAGAGGGGGAGGAGGAAGCTTATCTAGAAAAACTGGTCTGTGGAACCAGAGAAGGATACCAATTGTGTTCCTAAATTGAATGTATATTGGATTTTGTTCCCAAATTGTGGAACTCTGTGAAAACAAATTAAAAAAATATGGCTACAGAGGAATAATAAATTCAGTTGGGTCATGCTGTGCTCCCCCTACATAGAAGACTTCCAACTCCTTATCTTTTTTCAGAGGAAAACAATAAGAAAAAGTAAAATAAATGGTCACTGCAAACAGAATAGGAAAAGCTTCAAACCCACTTTACCACCTCAAATGGGTCCACTAGTGGCAGGACAACCAACTGGACACACCATAGTCACGGCCCACTGAGGCCACTCCAGCAGGGACTGTCTCCTAGAGCTACTAATTTTACAGCCTGGCATCTCTTTTTCAGGAAGCTTCAAGATGGGCTCTCTCTCTCTCTCTCTCTCTCTCTCTCACACACACACACACACACACACACACACACCTCCCAATATTTCTCTTTCTCTCTTTCAATGTCAAAGCGGTTCCAGATTGGATCTCAGGCATAAACACAAGTGAAAGATACAATGCATACACATGTTCTCCATCAAGGGCAACTCCAAGGTTAGCAATACCAAACGAGATGAACAAAGCTGCACGCAGCACACATATGGAAGCCACTGAACATCTGAGGAAAATGAAAAACGGAAATGTGCTCGTTAGGTCCATTAAGGCTCCTTCCCCCAGCACACACACATGCATGCATGTGCACACACGTATGCTCTCTCCTAACTGGTTGACACAGCCGTTGCTCTGTAAAATACAAGGAGCAACTTTCTTAAATATGGAGGCAGCAAAAGGGCCAAGAAGACTGACTGCCTGCAAAAAGCCATTTCATTCCAGGTAATAAATATATCTCCTAACAGAGCATTTTTACCATACACTTTATAAAAAGGGGCTCTTTAAATTCCAATGTTCGAGATTGGGAAATGAAATAGAATAGTGAAAGCCGTTAGAAAGAAAGCAGGAGGGAAGAAAATCATAAAATTATAAAATGAACTTTCTCTCCAAAATAGTCTGGGTTAGATTCTGATAATCGACAGATTCCTTGGGAAAGAATTGCCTGCCCGGCCTCACAGTGCTCTGATGAACTAAGACGGCTTCTCTCTGCTTGGGTTATCACTAAACTGCTGCATGTGGGAAATGAATCCAATTTCTATTTTAGAAGTTGGAGCAGCAGCGTTCCTGTGACCATTCAAAGGGAATATGAGCTCAACCAAGGTGCTCAAAAATCTCAAGCAGGGAGTCAGCAACATCATATAATCATGTTGGCTAATAGAATATTTCTAATGCAGCCCTGCTTGGAAAAATCGATGGGCACCAATGTGAAAATAAATGAACAGAGTGTGTACCTAGACTCAGGTGTCATCAGAATGCAGAAAAAATGAGAGAAATACAAGTGTGAGGCAAGAAGGACTGAATAAAATAGAAGGCTCGGATGGGGACAGTCAGAACACTGCTATGCTGATCTTGGTCGTCAGTACCTACCAGAGACTGTGCAATCAGGGACAGGAAAGGAAGTAGTTCTGATTCACACACAAAAAAATATTACCTTGTATGGCTGTTCAATCTGAATTCTTCACTGAACCTATATCTTTCAGAAGAGTGTGTTACCAGGACACAGTGACAAAAGCCATCCATGGCCACAGGATGCTGGGAATAGTAGCTACAGCAGACAACTGCATTGTAGTGTAATATGGAAGTCATTCCTCACCCTTGAAGGAGAGCTTTGTGTTTTCTCTGGCCCTGGTTTGAGAAAAGCTGAGCTTTGCCACACTGTCACTTTAGAAAGGGGGCATCTGGGATGTCACCTTTTCTACCCAACACAGCCTCCAACCCTCCATCTGGAGCCCTCGCATGGCCACATGTGCCTGCCTGTGGCTCATTTCCCCACATAAGGGTTTTGGCAATGGGATTTCCCAATCTTTCCCTACCTCAGTGGTTCTTATAACATGAGTCCTCTCATGCCACCACATCTCTCTGTCACTTGGGCTAAGACCTTAGTAATATTTTTCTTATATAGATACACTATTTTTTAAGCTTAATAATTTTTGGAAAAATATTTCCCATTTGTTGGCATGAACTAAACTCTATTATCTCTTCTAATTAATGGCAGGTAACCCTAAAAATGGGTGTAGATGAAGCAATGTTATCAATGTTTTATGGGCACTCTCATCACCCCAAGCATTATTAAAAACAGATTAGATGGTGTTAGGGAAGCAGGAAGGATGTACAGGCACTGACTTGAGATTCTGACCCTGGAATACTCAGAGTTACTGACTGAGACTTGAGATGGAACTAACTTTTTTACAGGGTGATTCAATATTAGGTAACATCCCAACTGATTCTTCCCGGAAATTATTTCTAATGGCACCGCCAGTATGTTTGTACACTTCGGTAAATACTGCCCAACTCTACACCAGTTAGAAATATCTGGATCCTGAATCCCAATATCCCAGGGCTCTGCCCTTTGCTAACAGAATTGGATGAGATGATAATTCAATAATAAAATAACATATTGAAAAATCTCCTCAAATCCATGGTAAATTAACAAATCCATGCTTTAGTTCAAAAGAGGGCTTCTGAGCCTGGTAGAAATTTTGATCAACATAAAAAGATCAAGAAGATAAAGTCACTCCGTTACCTCTATGTAACCTCTCTGATTTTTATTCTAAAACCTTGTAGAGATAAAGTGCTTCCTCAGTACTGACTCATCCACCAAGCACACACTGAACCAGCAACTTCTGAACAAGGCAAAGATCAGTGAGGAATGATCTGAACAAGGCTGAACTTGAATCATGTACCATCTTGTACATTAGCCTCTCTTTAGCTGAAGAAAGGTAAGGAAACTTCCGTGTTAGTTTTACACAAAAGATACCTTCTAGTATCAACCCAAGAACTCATTTTTCTATAGTATAAAAGAAGGCAGTATCTGCTAATCCTCTTATTCACACTTTTTCATGGTGATGGGGAGAAGAAAGAGGAGGGGGCTTCATCACCTTATATCCATAGACACAAAATTCACCTACTGAAGAGTCAGAGGTGAGGCCAGGAGGAAGCTGGGGGCTGATGTGCACATTCTCACTGAAACAACATAGATTGGAAAGCATTCCTATCTACCCACGGACTGCCTTCATTAAAGCAATGGTTGTTGTAAGAAGCATCTTGCACTCCTAAACAAAAGCAGGCATTGTTTAATGCTTAGATATCACGCGCAGCAAAGAGGGCTGTTTATGCTAGGTGACAGCATGGTTACAGAAAGCTGATGGATGGACAAGTCACAAAGGCAAACCCTACTACAAGGTGGACTCTAAAGAAGGATTTATGATTTAATTCCAAGAAGTCTAGCTTTCACGCTTTCTTAGTAGTTTGACCAATGCATGTTGATTTTCCTGTTCTAAGATACCAAAACTGAGCGCATCTTTTCCTTTTATTCTCATGGGGATTTTGGTAGTTTTTTTTAATCCAAAATGCATCCTTCATTTCCCCTATTCCTTACAAATCATACAGACATACGCATTCATTCAGTAATAAGTTTCCTGAGAAACTTAGAGATAAATAGGTATTCTTGTTTTAAAAGTTAAACATTATTTGCCTGAGGAATGGCAGTGCCCAGGGATCAAAAGTTGGAATAAGAAAGGGGTACATGGTATCTTGCAAGCACACCACGGGAGGTCGGGAGAAAGGTTGATGGGGTGTGGTCAAGGGTTGCAGGGACAGAGAAGAGGCAGAACTAGGAAAGCATGAACAAGAATAGTATACCTGCTGCAGGTGTGATTGTAATTTTCAGGGTTTGATTCTGTGTGGAGGGAGGCTCCTTAAGATATGTGAACCAAGGACAAGATGACAAATCATTTGCTCTACATGCTGTAAGTACTTGTCGCTTTGCTAGTTTGTGAAAGCTCAATGGACTTAGAGAAGATTCTAGAAAAACAATTCTGGGTATGACATTTACTAGCTGTCATCTGACTAGGGTCACTCAAACTTTCTCATCTCGGTTTCCCCATTTGCAAAATATCTACAAGCTTGTAATCCACCAGAATGCATGTTCTTAAGGGCCGAGTTCTACCTTGTTCATCTCATTCTGGACGTCTTACACATAGCCAATCACCAATACTGAGTGCATAAAAG